ATTTTCTATAAAAAATACACTTCAAAGATATTCTTAGAAATCCAATAACATTTGAAAACGCTTACTTGGATCCTAAAAAACAATCATACGAAAAAATAATTTAATCCTACCTGCATTCAAAAATCCAATAATTAAAAAAGATCATCCAGTTTCAACACCAACATACAAACTGATGAAAATCTTCAAAATATTCTTGAGAATAATTCGTATTAACGTAATACTGCAGTGAAATTACAATATCCATTCAGGTTGCTTAAAAACTTCCTTTAGGAAAACTGCAGCATACTTAATTCAGGTAAGTTCTGGACCAGAAGATTTTATAACTAGAGAGGTGTCTTCCCTACGAAATCATGGGTGAAATCACAACCAGGTTTCAAGGCAGGTATAGCTGCAATGCACAGTGCAATATTGTTGTTTGTGCTTTATGTGATATGGTGATGTTTTATCGCCATTAGACTCTATCAGAAAGGCCTAAGAATCACAAATGTGAAGTTAACAGTTAAAACCAAATTTATTTAACATTTAAAAGAGAAATCACATCTTGCAAGAGGTTAAATATTTAAACCTTAACACATACAAGCTGAGGCCAGACAACTAATAGGCAAAATAAGGTGATAAGTAAGCAGTAAATGTCTTCGAGAAAGTTCAAGTCTTTATCCTCATTCTGTGGTGAGCATATATGAATATTGCAAAACCAAGATGATTTTTGCAACTTACTGCAATGAAGATTTCTGCCATGTTTTCGTGCAGTGTTGTGAGGGCTTCAGTACTGAGTCCTGGAGCATTATCAAGAAGGCGGAGAACATGAAAGCTAATGTTTTGCTGTTCTAAGTAATGTTTTACTTTTTTAACATATGAAATTTTCAAGCCAGTCATTAAAGAGGACATTTGCAGTGTGGTCAATGCTGTTCAGTACACCACGTTATAATTCGAATTTTTGCATTGGACAAATAAAAAGCAAAAATAAGCAATATATTTATCTAACAGTCATAGCAGGGGGGGACTGTTACAAATTTAAAGAATAATACACATCCAATAAGTAAATTTGTCACTGCAACACAATTAAGGTAACTGTGTAACAAGTCTAAACATACGGGTTAAGCCAGGGGTTCTTAGCCTTTTTCCCTGTCTGGGCACTTCTGACAAACACGAAATGCTGGCAGGTGAAAAAGTATAACCATTTTTAATATTTCTTTATTTTATTGCAATCATAAGCAATACCCTACATTAAAAAGGTAACAAAAAATTCAAAATAGTTGCATTTAATGCGATGTTTGGCATTGCATATAGTGTATAGCGGACAGTCGTGGGCGCACAAAAATAGCTTCGCGGGCACGGGGTTAAGCTACCAAGAGAAAGATATATTTTCGTTTAAGCATACTCGTAAGCATAAGGTCCAGAAAATCGCAGCATCACTTGTTGAGGGTTAAATATTATGGTACTACTTGTTAGGGTATGGTTTGGTGAATCTATCATTTCAGACAACATAACTTGAAAATATCCGTTAATTAAAAAAATTCTGCATTGTGTAAATTTCAAATTTAATATCCAAATCAGAATACGGGCAACAACCCTGGTTAGGAGAGTAGGTAGGAAATGAAATCATATTCTAAAATAATCAAATAACACTATTTATTCATTATAAAGCATAGAAATAAGGAAAATTATCTATCTCTCAGAAGGAGGAAATATTTAACATATTTCAAAATTATTTAACATATTTTTGATGTGTAATAGAATGTACAGAAAATGAATCATTTTCACTTATAATCCTTATGAACTATAATTAAATAGCAGTGGTGAATACCAGTGGGTCGGCACGGGAGACAAATTGACACCATCTCCAGGAAAGAAAAGGAATGTGTAGTAAGAGTTTTTTAAAAGATGGTACTTATTGAATTGAGGTTGCCTGCTCCTCGGCTGTTAACAGCAAAACAGGGAGACTTCTCTGTTGAATCCATTAGACTTGTTGACGTTTGCTCCACTAGAAGAGATTCCAAAAGCAGTCTCTCCCTGCAACGAATTCTCTGCACGACTACATCACAGGAACTGGGAACCATCTACAAATCAGTGCTCCTCTTCCAGAGAGGAGTGGACCCTTTGATGAAGCAGGCAGTTGACCCTTCAAGATGGTTGTGCCTGCTGATTCTCACTCCGTAAACCCCGTTGATGCAGGGTATGGAAACTTTTACATAGTAGCATAAGAAATGGGTGGTGCTACATCTTCTTGAAAAAAATAAGTATGTGAAAGGCCCTAAATCCAGCCTTTCAAAATGTCAGGTCAAAAAAACTCGGCAAGGAAAATAACCCTTTCCGGAAATGGTGGCATACATCACCTGTCGGAAATGTACTCTGGAGGCTTAAAAAAACTGCACTTCTAAGTTTAAATTTCAAAGCCAAAAAATCTGTGCCACTTCTACTAAAAATATATGCTTAGTTGTAAATAATTTCTCAACCAATTAATCTAGGCTAAAAAAATATAATTCTGCCAGAAAGGCACACAATTTCTGTACAAAAGTATACAAATTTCAATTAGTTAAATTAATAATTTTAGTTTTTAAATTGAGATAACACTCCAGAAATACTTGAAACACTAGTCTCTTTAGCACGGATCTGAACCCACAAAACATATTTTGAGTTTTCCAAAAATTAACTGCATTAAATTTAAACAAATTAACTTATAAAAATAAATACTAGCAAACGCATAAACTAATTAAACCCTTAATTAATATTATATTACTAATAAGGTATGTAGCTGATAAATAGAATGAATACACATTAAGTAATTAAATTAATTAAGCTATGCAACATTCAAATTATACATAGGGGAAAACATTAACATCAACCATATGGAGCCTGTCTACAAGATTGAACCCAAACTAAGTCGAACTACTAGTACAGTCAAAAGTCGTTAATACGGACTCGTCGGGACTTCGGCGATTCCGGATTATCGATTTTTCCGGATTATAGATCATCAGTTTAAATCTGGTAAGATGGCATGCAGAAATTACAAAATTAAAAATATGAAACCGTAATTTATGAAATAAAGAACAATTATGATCTAAAGGGTATCAAAATTTACAAAAAGAAAGCTTAATATTTATTTGTTTACTTTATTAAACATTCTTCTCAATGTAAGTTGCTTTGTTTCATGTGATAATACTTTCTCTTTAATTCTATTAAACAGACATAATTTCTTGTTTAGTTACAAAGTTCCGCTGTTCAAGTCCTATAATTGCTGTGTTGAGAATACCGACTAATTTGTCAATCGAAATTTTTTCGTTTTCAATAACCTCTGGGTCACTTTCTTCACTATCGGAAGCGAATTATAATGACGAGGAACTTGATTTAAATCATATCAAAGACGGAGTACATCGAGATGAAATACTACACTTACTAAGGAATTATAAGCCAAATAAAATAAAAACATCTGCCCTGAAGATAATGATAGTGCTGACAGATCAACTTCCAATCCGTGGCGTGAAATTGATAAACAGATTTCGGATTTCGAAACATACTTTCGCTTTGTAGATATAAATTACATATTACTAAATACATATCAGAAATTCTATTTGACATAATCGAAAGTTCAAGCTTACTTTTATGAAATTGCTCTAACAGTCTGCAAAAAATAATAAGCCCGATCCAATTCGAAGATTAAGGAACAATGCAATCTGCAACATTAACTGAATTAGATAATTTTAGCTTAGCTTATACCGTCCGTTACACATTAAACGCGCATGCGCACAAACATTTCGCAGCCGTAAAGGTCTTACGCGCACTTGTAAACACCTGTGCGCATGCGTGAACGTGACGCATGTGCAGAAAGTTTGTAGCTTTGAGGTCCGGATTATAGATCATTCCGGATTATGGATGTCCGAATTAATGACTTTTGACTGTATTCGCAGTCTTACATATAGTGTAGCTTTCAAAGACTTCTGCTTGTTAGCTGGATCTGGAATAGATAGTTTGATCAAGTCTGTCATTTTTATTGGTTTGAAGGGAAGGTTCTATTTTATGTTAGGGTTTGGTAGTGATTTTGTCTTTTTCATTTGAGAAGTATTTTTCCAAAGATGTGCTATTTTCATTGATGAACTGGTTGCCACATAATTTTATAGATATCTTTTTTGTATTCTGCAATTCTTACTGAAATTTGTTAAGAAAGTTAAGATATATATGTAACTTTCTTCCAATCAGTTCACCAATGAAAGCAGCATATTTTTCGTTAAATATTTTTGTGAGCATCCACACAATATTTGATCAGGTCAAAGCCTTTTGGCTTTCAATCTGCCGGCATAAAAGCAGCCTAAATTAGAGAAGCGCTTGATTAATAACGAACTTTTTTTTCCAACCTTCTATATATCTGGACATCAGTTTAAATTATAATAAATTTTGTGGAAACCAATAAAAAGTGACAAACTGGATCAAATCATCCATTTCTAGCTAAAGCAGACAGGCCATCTGCAAAACACCTTTACTTTATTTTATGTCTAAACATTTAAATGTATTTTACATTAAATTATTTTAATTATCGTTATTAAACTGAAATTCAAGCATGTAATCAATTTACCAGAAATGGCATTTTTAAATATTTATAACAGTTGTGAAATAATAAGTATCAAAATAACCTTATTAACTTATTTTGTGGTATATTTTGAATAGTAGGTTAAATTTCAGTGTGACTGATTACAGAATAGTTAGTTATGAATTGTTTAATGTGAGTAGTACCAAAACAAAGAAATAAGAGTTGGTGAATTTAATGAGAATATAACATATTAGTTTTTTACTACCAAAATGTAAAAAACTGAAAGTTCTTAGTTCACTATTATTCATGTGGCATATTATGGTAGTGCAATGTACAAAATGAACTGATTTATTTTTGCAAATAAATTGGCCTTTTATTTCAGAATTTGGAAATTTAGTTTTTAAATGCCATATTATAATCTTATTTAACAGTGTTATGTAATATACTTTGTATAATTTTCATTTTCTGATTCCAGGTTAATATTGATTGCTTTCACTTAGAAGAGCAAGAAGCTGCTGATGACTGCTATTTAAAATTTCGAGATACTTGTGATAAGATTCGAGGGCATTTTCATTCTATACTTCTTGCCAAAAAAGGAAAAGGGAATGAGGTGGTTATCTAATATTTTATTATAATCTATAATCAGAGTTGGTTTTAAATGATATTTGTTTATTGGGTTTATCAACAGAAATTTGGGCATATAAATTATCCTGTTGATTGGAGATTTTGCAGCAGTCATTGTGTACTTAAATCATGTAGCTGCAAAGCATTTCCAGTAATTATATATGTTGTGTTTTTCTCATAAGTAAAACTGAAATACTTTTGGATGAAATTAGATCATACTAGCTTACTCTTCTTCATACTAATGTGTTTGGGTGTGTCTTTTCATAATTTGTTTATAGGTCATTATCTAATGTAACTTGTACTTTCATGGATTTTTAAGTTTATTATTTCCAATGTTATTGAGGGTAACTTCTTTCTTGTTTTCGTTATTGCCCAACAAAGCTTAAATTTTTATGCATAGAATCATATCATGTAAGAAGATCCATGCCTTTTTGATTTTATGAGTGATTGCCCCTTTTACTGAATTCTTGGTGGACTACCAAAATGAAATGAAATGGTTCTAGCTTTTTGCGCATTAGCTTGGCAAAAATTTAGTTAGCAACGAGTTCACAAATGCTATCCAGAGCCAGGAACAAGTTTGGGACTTTTTTGGGGAGGGTCATGGATAGTCGGATCAAAATAGAGTACAAAAATCAAGGAAAGCCTTTTTACAAAGCACAAAAACAAAATGCATTGAATATTTCCTCAGCAGTGCCTATTTGGTGGATTGTGCTGAAAGACTGATGAATGTCTTATTGTAAGAGTTGCAGATAGAAGTGTGACCCAGAATTAAGCAGGAACGAATGGCATAGTTTGGCGGGGTTCCGGCCACTTTCATTATTTGATGGTAGCCAACTTTCATGGTCGATGGGGTTTTATAGAAGTAATGAAAATACTTTTAAGTTTATTTCAGAACTGAAATTAACCATGATTTAAATGCTTGTTTTATCTGGCAGGTAACCTAAGCTTAAACATCGCCATTACAATCTTGCATTTTACCTTATCTGTCTGTCATTGTTTCTTATTCTCCAAATTCTGACCTGTTTTGCTGTGGAACCAGTAGATCTCTATTCTGAGAGATTCTTCATCAGGATGTTCCATAATGTCAGCAATGTTGACTATTTTAAATACCATCACTTACTGTGATGTGTTTGCAGATTTGGTATGTTGTCAAAAGAGAACGTACAGCATCAAATCCCAAATCCATATATTTAGTATCTGGAATAATCTAATATCTGGCCTTCCAGACCCCCCCCACACACACCAAAAAAAAATTTTTTTTTTAACAAAGTCTACGAATGGAGAATATAATACTCAACAAAACAAAGGAAATAGGCAGTAAATGTGATTTTTCTTGCATGTCACATTCAAATACCTGCTGACTAGGGAGTGACATCGTTGCCAGTGACAATACATTCACATTGTACTGGCTAGGATCACAATTTCGGCTCTTGAGTTGTGAGGTGTTTAGCATTTTCTTATATAACCTATCTAAGCAATATATGAAGCTATAATACTGCCATCTGTACATTTCATCTTATTAAATTTAAACAGAGAAATTGTGCGATTTGACTAACAAAAAGATCATGCTTTGTATCTGGTGGGATTGTTGTATTATCCACAGAAAAAAGGTAAAACCCTCTACAGTAAGGTGTACAGTGAGATGCCAATTCCTATTGATGCTGCTATCAAGATAAAATGTTGAACTGAGTTCTGGCACAAAAAGGTGATGTTCCATCAAGATAATGCAGAACCATATGTGTCTGCATTTACCGGGTGGACTCTATATGGTCTCGAAAGGGATCTTTTGCTACACCCACCATATAGCCCTGACATCACTCCTTTGGACTTCTACCTTTTTTCATACCTGCAACTACATCTTGCTGGTGCTATCTTCCATTCTGCACAGGACATGCAAATGAAGTTGATCTGTTTTCGGACTCTTGGCCACCAAGTTTATGGGCCGAAGGCTTTGAAAAACTACCAAAACGTTGGCAGAAAATCATAGATTTGGGTTGGGAGGTGATTACTACCTCCTCTAAATGTGCTGCTTTCATGTTTTCCCCTAACTTTATTAAGAATGTTTTTTTTTGGCAGAAAACTTTTGTTACAACCAAATGCATAGTATGCTTAACAACAGCAAATGTTGTTGCTCTCGTAAAAAAGAGATCTATGTTAGATCCCTTTGGAAATCAATAATACTCTACTTAAAACCTGCACAGCTGCCTTTTTTTTTCCTCTTTAATTTAAAATTTGATAGTGTCTTGTTTTTCTTTCAATTAGATTTATTTATTGGTCACCTTTTTCAGATGCTAGGTGGTACTTACATGTTAGCACCTTATCAGAAGTTGCCAATAATAAGCAATCTTGTCATTTTCTTGTGCATTCTTTTTGTTGTTTCAACTCTTTTTATAGACAAATCAGGATTTTTTGGTCTTAAACTCAATTTTAAAATGTGTGTTTATGGGATTTTCCTGGAAACAAAAAAAAATCTAGGAAAAAATTTAAATTATCACCCTGAAATTTCTTCAGAAATGAAAAGTAAAAATATGTTTATAACGTTGCGCGCCTCTAACTAGCACGCAACCAAGAGGTGACTGTGAAAGCTTGTATAAACCACAGAGTCTTATAAAGGGTTTAAGTCCCTTTTTATTCAACGTAATAAATTATAATGGCGTCCTCTTGACGCTTACAGACTGTGCCCACTAGGCAGTCAAATAAAAATAAGAACCTGAAAAGAAAGTAAAGACAATATTCTAACTACGAGGCTCTCTAAAATAACTAACTCACCGCGTTTTACAAAAGCCGCAGCTAATTCAGCAGACTTGAAGCTCACTGGAACAATTGCAACTACTTCCCGCCAAGCACATAGGCCGCAACGCGGGTTCTTCAATTCTCGATAACTACCTCCGCGCTCGCTAAGTAAGAATAACTCTCTCACCGAACTCGTTTCCTTCTATTTAAATCATACTACTTCCGCTGATAATTTGAATGCTTGCGCGTTCTACTCAAATTTACATATTCTGGCATTGGCAGTTCCAGGGGAAAGTAAGGCTTGACAGGAAAGATAGTTTAAACTTAAAATAAATGTTAGTTAAAATAAATATAAACCCTACATTTGCCGCTGCCAGAATTTGGAAAAACTTGGAAGCAGGTCCTACAAACGACCTGTTGTAAGTTTATCTAATTCTGAACTAACTGGCGAGAACCTCGTTTACACACACACACACACAAAAAAAAAAAAAAAAAAAAAAAAAAAAAAAAAAAAACTTATGTAACAATTATACTAAAATTCTGTTGCTCGTTACAAAGCTTTCTTCTTACAGCAACTTTTCCTGGACTTCATCAATCAATCTTGGTCTTTCCTTCCAGCATCTGGAAGGAATAAGTATCAGTATCTTTCTACATACATTATAATTTACACTTTCTTGACACAATAAATTTTTGTTTTTAACGTTTCGTTTTTCTTAGTTATTGCTTACTTCACATTCATTCAATTTTTCAAGCATTAATTTAACTTTACCCTGGCTCTCCACCATGTGTGGTGTCAAACGGGAATATTCGTGTTTTAGTCTTACAACACTTCCCCTAACCACCATGATTTGTTAGAATTCAACAACCAAATAGACACACCTTACTCGACATTCTACAACTCAATGAGCTACTTTAATATTCTTAAAAATTCAAATGTAGGTGGAGAACCCTACAAAACACATTCATTCTAACTTCCCCCTCATTCATCTTTAAACATGCAGGCTTTCGCTCTAAAGCATGACTTTACAGTTTAATACTTAAATTTTGACTTCATTGCTTTTAAGCATTCACTTTTAGCATCTACAATTTTATGCTTCTAGATTAAATTCTACTTTTACTATAACATGCAAGTATTTACATACATTTACAAAAGTTTAATACATATGCTTTTTACAATTTACCATAAAATGAATAAGAGAAAATAAATTTTTACTTTACTCATTCTTCGCCAAGCTGGCGGCACTGAAACTAAAATTCTTATTAGTACAAGAATACGAAGTTATTTTTATCTCCGGCCAAATTTTGGCTTTAACATAACAGAATTAGTCTTTCGACCAACAGAAAATGCTTGTTTTTAGCTTTTACACTTAAAGAAAATACTTTTGCCTTAGCTAAATAAAGTAAAACAAAAACTAAGTCTCAACCGAGACATATTGACTTTCGTCAAAACATAGAACTTCGTACTTTATGCATAACATTTCGGAACAAAAGAGAAAAAAAAAATTTATAGAAGATTTTAACTTATCTTTGAGTTTTCGATGCTTGAAACTCCGTCATCCGTTTTTGACAAAATTGATCCCAAGTTAGAGGTGTCATGGATGTCAATCTTCTCCTTATTGATCTCCGAGTGTCGTCCCCGTTGCTCTTTTCTTTTGCGTCCTCTACATGCTGGCCTCTTGACGGAGTAATCGTCTGGTTGTTGGCCTTTGCGTTTGCCTGGGACGGCTGGTCTTGACGTCCTCCGGTCTGGAGTCCTTCTTGAATTTCTTCTGTTCGTCGTATTTTTGTGCCTCCTGTTGGCGTTTTCAGTTTCCGGAACGGCGGCCTTGCTGGCACCTGACTCTGTGGCCGTGTGCGCGTTCTCCTTGATGTGTAAATTTCTCCTGCCATCTTTTGTAGGTGGTGTTTCGTCTTTACCACGGTTTCTTTACCCGGTTCATCTGTATTTTTGTTTTTCTTAAACGCCGGAGTTTGAAAATCCTTTTTTCTTTTTGATACCGACGTCCGGGTTGTAGAAGTGCTAGGTCTCTCTTCAGTTCTCTCGTTTCTTGGGTGGTGGAATAGTTGTTGCAGTCTCTGGCCCTTCTATTTCATTTAGACTTGAGTCCTGCAAGAAACTTTTAAGGATTTCAAAATCATTTGGATTATAGTATTTTTTCACCTGGTCGGGACTTGCTTTACAGATTTCCCCTCTCTCGTTTTAAGATATAAGACTACTCCTTTGATTTCCTGAATTACATAGGGGCCTTCAAA